GGGGGGGGGGGTGTCAGGAAAAAAAAAAAGGTCTAAAGTCTCTGAAGTTTGCTGCTCCTCAAAGTGCCAGACCTGAGGCGGACTGCCTGGCAGCCGAGGGCTGGGCTAACTTCATCCCACTGGGAAGGAGGGCTCACCCACCCTAAGAAACCCTCGACTCTTTTCGAAGTGACTGGGACATGGGGGAGCGGGGCCCTTGCCGCCCCGCAGGGTCCCTCAGGCAGCCGGGAAACAGGTGCGCCCCTGCCCCGCCTCGCGCCTGGCTTCGAAGCGGCCTCCTCCGGGCACCACCGCCTGTGGCAGCCCCACCTGTTATCGCCAGCGGCTGGGCGGGGCGGGGCGCAGGAGTCCCCGGCTCAGGCCGCCCCTTGGAAGGGAGCGAGACCAGCCCCTGCCCCCCAGCCGGCGCGGCGCTCACCAGGTACTCGGGGTACTCGTACATGTAGGTCATGCTGCACCGGTTCTCCTCGTACAGGAGCAGCACGTCCCGCACCGCCAGCAGCACCAGCGCCGCCAGCGCCCCGTACAATCCCAGCGCCGCCGCCCCGGGCCCGCGGCCCCCCAGCCCCATCACCGCCGCCGCACAAGCCCCTCGCAGCGCCGCCGGCCGCACACGGGCGGGGGGGAGGAGCCGCCCTGCGGGGCGGGGCAGCCGCCATGTCGGAGAGGGTAGAGCGGGCGCGGCGCCGCCCGCCATGTTGGGAAGGTCGGACCAGGCTGAAGGGCTGGAGCGTCTCAGCCCGCCCCCTTGCCGCCATGTTGCAAAGCGGCGAGCCGCCTTTCCGGGCGAGACGCGCGGTATTGTGTGGCCCGGTGTCGTTTCCGCAGAGCCGGGGGGCGATGCAGGCGCTGACTCGCCGAGCGAGGGGGCCCGGGGCGACCCCGCAGTCTCGCGCGCCGTGGGGGTAGTGGGTGCTCCGCGGCCCCTGGTTCTTGCCCCCCAGGCTGCCCCTTGCCGCGCTGCCGGGTGCGCAGCAGATAAGTAACGTAGTTGTACAATGATCTCCACCCTTGTACAGTGTCCGGGCAACAAATAATACTAAAAGTGTTTAAAATGTTCGATAATTCTCCAGGCAGTACGTGCAAAACCTAAGTCACTCCGAGAAATTTAACAGATTTTGGGGCTCGCTGCCAGCACCAGCTTATGACAGCTGGCCTGGAAATGCTTCAGCTTTGATAACCCAATTCTCATTCACTCGGTGGCAAGTGATAGTAAACAATATAAATTAAATGAGAGGATTTATTTGCATATTTTTTCAGCCCACTCTAGTTTTTCTGCAAATGTGTTAATTTTGAGCTTCCAATACAATCATTTCGTATTTAAGACCTGGCAGCAGTGGTCTGGTTCTCAGCCCCCTTAGCCCTGAGGGGGCAGCACGGGGAGAGCAGCTGTTTCTCTTTCCTGCTCTGCAGGTGCCTGATGCCTAGCCTCTGCTCTGCGCCTCCCTCTGCCCCTCAGAAATGATTACCCCAAATCTAGGCCTGGGATGAAGAGATTGAGGGGAACCAGAGGAGGTGGAGCTTGAGACTATGGGGAAGGTAAAGGTGAAATGCTGCTTCTGCTCCCCTGGACTATGACATTGAGCCCTGGGCCCTGCAGCACATTCAAATGGAAGCTGGATAGAAAGTAGCTTTGAAGTTGTGTGTTTTCTGGCACTAACTTTGTGGCCTGTGGGTCTCCTTAATGCTGAATGGACATATTTATGGTGTGATAATTACTTCCCATGTGTGGCTGGTCTGAACTTATCACATGATTCACCCATTAATTGCTTCCTATATGTAACATGGTAGGGCCTCAGTGACAAACCTGTGGTTTGGGGGCTCACATGGAAGCCCTTCACCTCATGCTACAAGGAGCTCAGACCTTACTAAACTCTGTGGTTCTTTGTTGCAGGTATTGCCCTCGGGGCTATAGGGTAGCCACCCCCCACGCAACAACATGCCCCCATTGCTGAAGAATCTGGCTCCTCAGTCATCTGAGGATGCATTGAGCCTGACCAACATCATCCTCAACTTCAAGGGACCGAAAACGATGATATGGTAGTAGTGGGAGCAACAGGCCTGTTCTTTCTTGGTGCATTTCCATTTCTTCTAGTGGTCAAACTCAAGGATTTCATAGGTTTCATAGACATTAGGGCTGGAAGGGACCTCAGAAGATCATTGAGACCAGCCCCCTGCCCGAAGGGCAGGAAGTCAGCTGGGGTCATAGGATCCCAGCAAGATAAGCATCCAATTTGCTGTTGAAGGTGTTCAATGTAGGTGCTTAAATTTCCCTTTCCCACAGAAGTTTGCTCATTACAGTTAAATATGATCATTTTGTCATTCCTAGAGAATTGTTAATGATAATAATCAATGAGTCATTAATCCTTGGTAGTCAGCCTATTTTCAGTTGTAAGGTAACTAGTCATCATTCATATACTCACAGTAGAACATCCCCTAAATCAGCAATACCTATACAAGATGTCAGACAGATCAGTACAGTGGCAGAGATAGGTTCCTTACCAGTGGTAGATTAAGATTTATTGCCCTGGGCAAACAGAAAATCGGAGGCCCCCCCACCAGACGAGGGTAGGTTCCTTCTGCACCTGTCAGGGGGCTGCGGCTGGGTCTGTCCAGCCTCTTTTGCACATCTGGGGTGACCCAGGGGGCATGAGCACTGCTGAGGTGAAGGTGGCCTGCCCCAGCCCCTCTACCTGGCAGGTGCTGCGCAGACAGGGCTACAGTCCCCTAGCACTTTGTGACAAGCCAGGGCCAGCTGGGGGTGGGGAATGGGGTTTGAGCTGCCCCCAGCTGCCCACCCACCCTCTGCTGGCCCTGGCAGGGCAGGGTTGTCCCATCCAATCCCATCCTGTCCCAGCAGCGCTGGTGCAGGCAAGCCTGCAGACAGTGGGAGCGGGGCTGCCCATGGGCCCTCCGGGCAACAGGCAGCCCGAAGAAGCCACTGCCACCACCCACATGCAGCCCCACACCCACCCTCTAACCAAGGGGTGGGCAATTATTTTGGACAGAGGGCTACTTCCTGAGTTTTGGCAAGCCATCGAGGGCTGCATGACAGGCAGCCCAGGACAGATAAATATTAATTTTTTGAATTTTTTAGGGGCCCCATGGACCAGATAGAATGGCTTGGTGGGCCCCATTTTACCCACCCCACTCTAGCCTTTGGCCCTGGCCAGCTGAAGGAGAGAAGGTGAGCGCTGCCTGACCTGGATGCCCACGGTCAGGATACCTGCCTGGGCCATGCTGCCTCTGGCACCCCAGGGGGCCCTTGGGCCTGAGCCATGTGGGCCCATACATTAATCTGCCCTTGTTCCTTACCTTCTAAAAGGGGCTATACAGAACCACAGCAAACATCCATATGTGACTGCTGAAGTGCTTCTACCTGTTTTGCTGCTTTTATTTCATGGGGCTGGGCTTCTCCAAACAGATACCTAGGACTGCTGATGAGCTATAGCTGAGCATAGAAGCACAGCTGTGCAAGTAAAGACTACAGCAAAGACCTGAGCAGTTCATCCTTAATTTGGCACTTTGTAGCAAAGTTGTAAATCACCCAAATACCAACCAGTCTGGGTTCTACTGTCCATTTATACACTAATGAGTATGGAGCTACCTAAATTGTGGTGGCTGCCTCCAGATTTCATGGTCCCAGTATGGTGTTGGGCACCACTTATGTGGTAGTGGCAGAACCCCCCTCCCAAGCCTGTGATTGAAGGGAGTCCTGCCCCTCTTTGGAGACTGACAGATGGCCATCTGTCAATCTTTGGGGAGGGGTGGGACTTCTGGGGCCCCTTGGTCAATCATAGTTGCAGGGGACCCACTGCACTCTGCTGTGAAATTCTCCCCTTCCCTTTACTCCCGCCCCCTGTGCTTCAGAATGCCAGGGCTTCCCACCATTTTCTGTTTGCAGCCCCCCTCCACCACCCCTGTTTGCTGGACATTTTCACGCTTTTTTACAGTGCCTGTTGTTTTTCATAGGGACCAGGCTTTTTCATGTGGAACCTACCAAATTCTCAGTTTCTGTGAAAATCGCAAAATCATAAATTTGCTAGGTCCCTATGAATGAGCTATCAGGAGCAGATTTTACTCAATAGTTCATTATCTAGTAATGACATACTAGATAAGTAGTTTATGAAACAAAAAATTTTACTTTAAATTGGTGACTAAATAGCTGGTGTTTTCCCATGCAAATCAATAGGATCACTTCTGCAATTTAGATATATGAACAAATAAGGTGATGATGTTATCCCAATGACAAATTAATCATATTTTACTATACTTACTAATATATACAGTTCATTTTTCACTTTTTTTGATCTTAACCCTCTTTACACCTTTTCACTAGAAAAAGGAACATAGAGGTCATGGGTTGTCTTTCATGAACTTTGGCTAGAGTTCTGACTCAGTCCTTGTCCACAATTCAACTAGCTCAGATTAGGAGAGTGCTCTGACCAGAGTACTATAAGGTATTTTATGTAACTGATCTCAATTGCTTCTGTTCAAGCTGTTCTTTTTAAAATATTTAAATACTCACAGGCTCAGCACAAGAGAGACAGTGACTCTAATTTTTATGGTTGGGGCACTCACTTTTGATAGATTCTGGCAAGTTGCATTTCCTGCTCCAATGACTATAAAATTCATATATCCATAGCTGAACAAAATAGTTAATACTGGTGTTCTAATTTTTTACATATACCATGTTTAAGTAATCAATTAATACTGTCATAATCAAGTTCTTGAGTCTACTCAGGTAGTCAGTGTGCATGATAAAGTGTACTAATATAAAATAAATATACAGTTCAGTTTACATTACACATCTTCTGCCATACTAAAGGACTTTCTTAGTATATTACCAGTTATTTTTGAACAAACAGAATATTACTCAGTTTGCAACAATATTTGTACCATTTTTATTTGTAAAAATAACCATCTGAATGCATTTCAATAATAGTGTACAGTTAGATCACTACATTACATCAACACAGCATTCAGTAGTTGAAAAAAGGTATTAAAACTGTGCTTGAGTGGATTCAGATTGGATTCCAAGTCATTCACTGAAATAAGTCTTTTTACTCATTTTATACAGTCATGACATTTTACTGAAGTCATTAAACTCCAGTTTACATAAGAAAACATTACAGACAAACCCCACTGAAACCATCAAACAATATTTTATATTGTTTATTACAAATATGTTAGGCAAAATATAACACTGGCACCAGAATCATCTCACGGTTGTTTGTAAAGATATATTGCACATGCTAAAGCATAAAATATAAGACATAACTACAAAACATAAGATATTGGCTTTTAATATGTAGATCACTGCATAAGAAACGCATAGAATTATGTTTATACACACTTTCAGATTGTCACGATTTTAAAACGCCTTTTCCCGTAACACTGACTTGTTTACTTTGTGTAATAAGAAAGCATGTTTAGCACTGCAAAATTATACATAATACCTATAGAAACTTAGCGCATTTTCATTTCAATGCAGGTAGAAGATTTGAAAAGAAAAAAAACTTTGTACATTCAAAGAAGGTTTGAAATGAAAACTTACTGGTA